CGGGCTGTGTGTGTGAGAAACGCTGATTGTTCCCTCCCCTCTCCCACTCTGCAGCTCTACAGCCTGTTGGAAAGGATAAACCCAGACCACAACTTCCCCGTGAGGTGAGAATTCCGGGGACGGGAACAGGGGATGTGTGGCAGGGTTTGGAAGAGGAACCAGAACACTCCACTTATTTCCAAGGCAGAAGTTCTGACCTGAAGTATAATAATGAGTTGGGAAGCTGGATTTTTCTTTGGGGGGGGTGGGAATTCCCAGCAATCCATGTGGGATTCCCTGATCCCTGCCTGGGGCTGAGATCCCAACCTGTGCTTTTCCCCCCAGCTCCCACTGTCTCCGAGCTGCAGCTTTTTACATCCGAGGGCTCTTCTCCTTCTTCCAGGGCAGATACAACGAGGCAAAGTGAGTACAAACCCCTTGGGCATCCAAAGCCAGCAGCTTTTCCTGCTGTTCTCCCCTGGATAAAGCAGGAGGTTGGAGAAACCCACAGGGAGAAGAGGCAGAAACGAGGCCTCGGGGTTTCCACTCCCATCCCAAAAAGCTGAATTCATTCCTCCTTTCCCCTAATCCCTGCCCACCCCATCCCACAAAAACTGAACCCAGAACTCATGGAGAACCCCCAAGCTTCTCAGAGTTGGAGCTGTCAGCTGAATTCCCAACTCCCTCCCAGGAAATTTAGTGAAGGGTTGTGCTTTTTCATCATTTATTGCGTGTTCTTCCCCCCTTTTTAACAGACAAGGTGAAGTTTTAAAGTAGTTTTGATGTACTTCAGCCTGTGTTGGGTCTGTCCCACTGAAAATCCAGATCTCTTTCCTGTGGGATCCTTTGGAATCTCGTGTCCTTGGTGCAGTTTTCCAAGGGGGGGAGCTCTGCCACAGCCTTTTCTGCCGAGCTTTGGGAACTCGGTGCTTTAACATCACCTGCAGCACGTTCATTCCCTACTCCTGATGTTTTCCAGTTACTTCAGCTCTTGGTTCAGCTTCCCACGATGGTTTTTCTCTGCTGGGAGGGAAGGGATGTTGTCAAACCCCCTTTTTATGCCCGTTTTCCAGGCGGTTCCTGAGGGAGACCCTGAAGATGTCCAATGCAGAGGATCTGAACCGGCTCACAGCCTGTTCCCTGGTGCTGCTGGGGCACATCTTCTACGTGCTGGGCAACCACAGGGTGAGAAAGAAATCCTGGAGCCTTTTTTTTTTTTATTGCTGTCCCACAAAAAGTTGGCATTTTATTGCCTTGGAGCTGGGATTTGCACGTTTAATAACTTTAATCAGGTGTCTGTTCCGTGATGCCTGAGGAAAAGGGGCTGGAAAAGGACAAGTGGCATCGTTCCACTGGACTGTTCAGGGAGGAATTGTGGATGCAATCCTGAAATCTCACTGCTGTGCTGGAGCACAGGGAATATTTCTGCTGTGCTGCACTGGAATTCCCAGGATGGAGCAAATCCCAGGCAGCTCTGGGATGAGTTTTTTTGGGGGGGGTTGTCCCATCAAAGGCTCCCAGCTGGGAGGGACAGAACGTGGCACAAATTAAAGGAGGCAAATTTTTCAGGGCAGGTTTGACACCTGTGTGTTTGCAAGGGGGGGAAAAAAAAACCCCAAATATCCCATTTGTTTTGTTTGCTTTGCCCTCTGCTCTCCCCCAGGAAAGCAACAACATGGTGGTCCCAGCCATGCAGTTGGCCAGCAAGATCCCAGACATGTCTGTGCAGCTCTGGTCCTCAGCCCTGCTCAGAGGTGAGGGGGGAAAGGGCCTTCCTGGGG